AGCAGGAATTCGCACCCACCTGGCAGCTTCCGGGACCTAAACGTGGCTGGCTCATACCCTCTTCAAATTTTATTTTGAAAATCTTACTTAGTTTTGAATCAGTTCAATCACAGGGCACAGATTTCAAAGGATAAAGATGGGTGTACACATTAGTAGTCCCCCGTGATCCTCAGGGGATGCTGTCATTCCAAGACTCCCAGTGGATGCCTGAATCCATGTAGCATTGAGCCCTATTTATAACTGGTTTTTGTTTTGTTTTGTTTTGTTTTTGTTTTTCATATATTCAGACCTAGAACAAAGTTTAATTTGTAAGTTAGACACAGGAAGAGAAAAACAGTAACTAATAATAAAATAGAACAGTTATAATACTATATTGTATTGAGTTGTCAGAAAAGTTATGACACACTTTTTATGTTTTTCTGTGCAAAAATGCATCATGACTTTTCTGACAGCTGACTAATAAAGGTTACATGGATGAGGTCACCCTCTCTCCAATATCCTGTTGCACCCATCTCCTTATGGGACGCGTTTGACTGTGGGGACCTGAAACTGTGGACGAGAGGGTTGCCGTAGTACGAAGTCTCTCTTTTGGCTCTTTCATGTCTCCCAACTCTCCCTATCTCCTGCCACCCATGTCTCCACCCAGGAAGAAACCAGCTCGTTTAGCTTTAGGGTTTCCATTTGGAAATCTTCCATGCCTCTATAAGCAGATGTGAGTGCGTGCACTTCCTCCTCCTTCCTGTAACACTCTTTATTGAGATAACTGCTATACTGTAAAATTCACCCGGTTAGATGTGTACAGTGCAGTGATTTGTCATGTATTCACGGATTTGTGCAACCATTGGATCAATCTAGTTTTGAAACATTTCTATCACCGCCTCCCCCAAAGAAGCCTTCTCATTTTCCCCAGCAGCCACCATCCCCACTTGCCATGTTCAGCAATTGCTGCTGATTGTTTTTGCGTGGGCATAAGGCTGTTCTTACTGAGCAGGCCCTGGATCAGGTCAGTTCATTTATTTACTTCTCTTGTGCGAGAGAGAGGGACACAGAGCCAGACTTCATCCTCTGGGCAGTGCGTACCCTTTTATTTGCTTGATGATGGATGGGCTCCTATGCACACACTTTATAATTTCTCTTCTGTCACAAATAGGCTTCATAGAGTTCTACTTAGAATTTTTTTTTTTATTTGTATTCCAGTTTGCAAAGCTATAGTCCACAGCAGGGTGTCAATGCAATAGACCCCTGGCTTTAGCTTGCCTAGATCACAGGCCCATACACACAGGGTATGGACAGGGACGTCCAGGACTTGAACCCAACACCTTTCCCCTGTGGGCCCAATTGCATTACTGCCATGCCACTGCCTGGCCCCTGCTCAGTGTGCTTTCAATTCAAGGAACTTGCTGTAAAACCATAATGTGGTCCTCTTGGCTTCCTCCTGCCTCTGTAGAGACTTCTCCATGGGCCATAGTCCTCTCCTGTTAATGTCTAGATCTCTAAGTAGTTCCCAAGTCATGCCAGAAACAAATAGAAGTGTTGTAATTAGGGTTTTTTTTGTTTGTTTGTTTACTTTTTTAAAAATCCATTGCCTCATTAGTTAGGTGGCCAGGCACCTTGTTTTCGAGACTGATTCCTTTGTAAGGAATTGTTTATTCTGTGGTCAAAAATGATTCTGGTACCTATGAACTGGGGGCAGAAATAATGTGTTTGCCTTCCTGCTGTTGCCAGGCATGCCTGGAAAATGAGCAGTTGTCTTTAGCTGTCTCTCAGCTTAGAGAATAGTCTTTTTGCTGTGGACCGCTTTGGACAGGTCAGAAAGCAGAAGGCTGGCTGGGCTGGATGTCATTCCCTGCAGGCCCCATTGCCCTGGTCTGTTTAGCAGAGCAGGAAATGCAGCTCTCTGCAAAATACATAAAATTGATGCGGTAGATCATTGGTCATTAATGGCTATGGGCATGGAAGAGTGCCCACTCAGCCCAGAATGATGGGTGTTTTCTTTTCTCCCATTAATCATCCCGAATGGCTTTCCCCGAACCATACTTCACCCACTGGGCAGTGAGCACCCTCTCATTTGCGTGATAACAGGCCACCATAGACACATCTTACAATTTCTCTAACATCGCAGAGTCTTCATGTAGTTCTACTTGGAGCTTATTTATTTGTCTCCAAATTGCAAAGCTCTGTAGCTAGAGGTGGCTATAAATGTTGATTTCAGGGTGTGCACAGACTCCTGCAGACTATTCTCTGAGGCTCCAGCCTTCTGAGCATTTGTGATCTGAATCTCCACAGAGTTGCATGCAGAAGTGAGAGAATGACATGAAACTATTCACAATGAACTCACCCCTTACAAAATTACCTCTGCTCGCCAACCTCTCTGCTTTATTGTAAGGCAGAAATTGGCAAGCTTCTTCTGTAAATATCTAGATGGTAAATATGTTTTGCTTTGTGGGCCATATGGTCTCTGTCCCAGCTGCTCAACCCTATTGTGAAGAGTGAAATCAGCCATAGACAGGGAGTAACCAGATGGGCCTGGCTGTGTTCCAATAAAACTTTATTTACAAACACAAGCATCTGCCTGGATTTGGCCCTCGAGCCTGTCCTAGAGTCTCCCTTCATTCACTGGGCTGGTGTCTTTGCTGCTTAATTGCTTCTCAATTATGGGCATTGACAGGGGGAGATGCTGGTAGACTCAGACCAATAATCGACCAAAAAAAAATAAATAAATAAATAAAAATCAACAGCTGGTAAATTTTTTTAATTTACATTTTTTAATACATTTAATCACATTATTTAGCTTATATAAGGTGATCATTTCAATATGTGAACATTTCTCCGTGGTCCAGTTGATCAAAATATAACACTACCTCCCTATCTCAACAATGCTGTCTTCGTATCCCTCCTCCAAATGTTTTTCCCCAGGCTCCACTCCTCCACACACACCACATCTGGCATTCCCATCCATCTCTTGTGTTTGTACATCATATAGCCCATTCGTTTCAGTTATAGAGTGCGGACATTCGGTATATATTAAGTGGGGACATACAGTGTTTCTCCTTCATAGCCTGGCTTGCTTCACTCAGCAGTAAATCTTCTATATTCTTCCACTTTCTGTCAAAAGCCAGGGTTTTGTTGTTCTTAATGGCTGAATAGTATTCCATAGAGTATATGTGCCACAGTTTTTTAAGCCATTCAGCTGTACGGGGGCATTTGGGTTGGTTCCATGTCTTAGCAATC